CTCCTCTGCTTTAACCTTTTTCCCTGCCCCCTTCCCTCTTGAGAAAATCCCAACTGACAAGTTCCTGCAAAGACCCACCACAGTCCTAAAACAGATTCTGGAAGAACTGCCTCACCAACAGAGGAACCCAAGCTCCATTGCAGGAGAAGTTCTTCCATTCCAGGGCACTTTCCCCTTTCCTCCCACCTCACTAAGTTACTTGACTGGCACAGCCCACTGGCATGACTAAATTGGAGGATTCTTCCAAGGTGTGTGGTTCTTTCCAACAGCGTTCAAAGAGCCAAGAAGCAGACATTTCTGACAGCAAATTGACCTGGGTTCCTTCTTCTTTATTACCTTCACATCTTCGCATGAACAGATCTTCTCAATTAGATAACTTTATCCTTTGGGATTTGCACCCACCTCTGGGGAGTGGACTGAGCTGAGAGGTGATAGGTGGTGGTGAAGTAAGTACTGGGGAAACCAGCATCATCTATTCTCTGAGAGGCAGCAGAAAGACCATTGTTGCACTCTACAAAGCTTGGCTCCCTATCCTGTATCTATTTGGAGTTGGACTTGCCCTGGTCTTTACACTCCCTAAAGGACCCTGATTTGCCGGGCTTCATTATATCATTGATGGACACCTCAGTCTTCTGACCTGGCCCTGGTTCTGGCTCTAAGACCCAGTAGTGGGACTGCCGTGTGTGTGTGTGTGTGTGTGTGTGTGTGTGTGTGTGTGTGTGTGTGTGTTTCCTCCTTGTTCCTCCTGGCCAGGACCCACACCAAGCTCTCCACCCCCATTACCCCAGGGGAGCCAGCAGGAGCCAGGGATGACGCAGCTCTCCGCACTCAGGGCAGGAGATTGATGGCAGGCCCTCTGCTTTCTTTCCCCTCCCCTTCTTCTACTGTCTGGTTCCTTCCAGCTCTGGGGTTTGGAAAGGAGGGAGGAAGCAGAAAGGGAAAATGCTTAGCTGTTCCATTCACATTCTTGTTTCAAGGGTTTTTGCTAGTCCTCAACTGAAGGGGCTCAGCTGAGAAGATGCTGGCCTCCCTGTTAGATTGGAGAGGTATTCAGAACCTGGACACCTCCTTGTGGCCTCCTTCCTGGCCAGCTCAGTGCTGATCTTGACCTGAAGCTCCTTTCTTCTCAAGCAGAACTCTCTTGGGCAGTTTGCTTCAAACCCATCTGGCAACCATAATCTGCTGGCATCTGGGAGGGCCCAGTGAGCTCATTTGAAAGCCTTGGTCCTATGCCCTCAGGCAGTAGGGGAAGGGACACTTAAGAACAGCCAGAAGGAGCTACTTGATCCCAAGGACCAACTTGTCCCTCTCCCCCGCCCCCAACCACATAGGTTCCTACCTGTTCCTGGCCTTGCCACAGCCCCTTCTTCTACAGCCCAAAAGGACAGGGTGGGTTACTAGTGGGGGTCTGGACACAACAGGATGTGGATATGATAAAGCACTCCAGCAGAGAGACCCTGGCCACTGTTGTCCTCCATGCCCACCCCACATATATGTTCCTTAACAGTGAAAAGTATCTGCCGGAGGCCTCCATCCAAATGGGCAGGCAGGGAGGGAGAGTGAACTGGTAAACTCTGGACGAGTCCCATAGGCTCAGGAGATATGTTCTGACTACAGCATCTGACTACAGAGGGGCAGCTGGGATGGCAGGGCACAGAAAACTGGGACACAGCAGTCAGAGTCACGATTCAGATAAATAATTGGCATCAAACTACCAGGAAGGGAACGGGCATCCAAGATGTGATAGCTGAGCCGAACAGGTGGGCAGAGCACAGGGGCTGAAAATGCAGGTCTGAGAGAACACAGAAATTGGGGAGTCTTCATGAGGTGGGCTCCAGGTTCCAAGAGACCCTCCTCACTGAATTTTTTGCCCTTGTGTTCAGAAGTTGACTGGCAAGAATAACAAGCCTGGGCCCAGCCGGTGACTCAGTGGTTGAGTGTCAACCTATGAACCAGGAGCTACTTTCTCTGGATGAACACAGCCCCATGAACAATATGGTTTTGTCAGATGAAAAATGTATCCTTTCATCCTGCAGCAGGATACCTGGTTTGAGGAGCAGAACATGGGCCATATTTCTGCCCCTACTTACCTCCTTGGCCAAGCACCTTTATGCAATTCACAAACTGCACAACTGTACATGGCAGCCCTGAGTGCAGCAAATAACTCCACTCCTCCTCCATATTGAGATTCAGGGAGACTGAGCTGCTAAAAGTTTTGCCTGCATCCCATCCTCACTGGTTTAGAAGCAAGGAGAGGGCTCAGTCTCTGGACAGAGACAACAGCGACCCAGGTTGGGGCACCAGACTAGCAGGAAGCTACATTATAAGGTCGAGATGAAGATGCCCCTTCCTTTGTGAAGAAGTTATTTTCCAGGTCCTTCTGCCCATCAAGAACTTTACAACTTTTGGATTTTACTATGTTTCATTTTGTTGTAAAAGTAATACTCGTGTCTTTTGCATCCTCCAACCTCTGCTGTGGACTCCCCTCCTCAAGAGCCCCTCACTTAACCATCCACTTAACCTACCTTGCCCAATTGTATTGGTACTGCTATGCAAGCAAACTCTTTAAGGACCCTGTTCCCTCATGCTTTGCTCTAAAGTGGAAACTAGGCTGCATTATCGTGACTATAATCCTCAGTTTCCCTACCTATACTTTGGGGGGAGACTAGGTTCCTTCCTGTTCTGAGGTTCTGTGACTCTGAAAATCCTTTACTACTCCTGCCCTAAGGTTTGTTTGCTCCCTGGCTCCACCTCTCCAGCAACCTAACAAGGTATTATGTGGCCCTGGAAGCTCAGATAAGTGAAAACATGGGCCCCAGAGCAGAATATAGTGACTCAGTGTTGAATGTAGGAGGAGTTGGACCAGGTGCAGCAGAACAGGGAGATGGCCAAGCCTGTAGTCACCCAGCGGCTACCTACTAACAAGCACTTCACTGACATTATCTTCATTTCAGAGTGGCCTTTCCAGGAAGTCTCTGCTGACAAAGGAGAGGGAGGGGGAGCAGGCTGGAGACAGCTCCAGGACCTACTGAAGCTTGGCCTGACTCCAGAGTATAGGCCACCTTGCTGGGTAAAACAGGAGGGAAGAGGAACAAGCCTTTTCTAAGACTGAGTTTCTGTCAGTGCCACCTGCAAAGATGTTTGAGAGAAAAAGAACTCTCAGCTCACGGGTTTTTGCTTGCCAGAACAATGTGCGTTATGATTTATTTAAAAGGACTGGATTTAGGATTCAGGGGCTCCATCTGGACTAATTAGTTGGGTGGTCTTGGGTAAGTCTCTTCTCCTCGAAGAGTCTTGGTTTCCTTATGTGTAAAATTAGGAAGGAACTTAAGAAAAAAATAGGAAGGAACTTGAACTAGTAAATAATCTCTAATCTATCCTATTCTTGTCTGTCTAATTTCTCAGCTACATTCATTTGTTATGCTATATGCATCAGGCCTTGTTCGCAGCCTGATTTCTTTTCTATTTTTTTAATCCTCACCAAGGATATGTTTTTTTAAATTGATTTTGAGAAAGAGAGAGAGAGAGAGAGAGAGAGAGAGAGAGAGAGAGAGAGAGAGAAAGGGACATCTATGAGAGAGAGAAACATTGATTGGCTGCTTCCTGTACGCGCCCCAACTAGGGATCGAGCTCGCAACATAGGTATGTGCCCTCACTGGGAATTGAAACCGCAACCTTTTTGATGTACAGGACAATGCTCCAACTAACTGAGCCACACAGCCGGGGCCACACCCTGATTTTTTTTTAGCCCCAGACTACATTATTTTGGAACATAGCCGTCAAACATGACTTTGAAGGAAATCAAATTTTCAAGTGGCTGAAGTCCAAGAGACCCAGGAGATGAACTGAGAGCTCACCAAGGATTCATTTTGGCCAGTTCTTTTCTGACTAACTAGTTCCCCTCCCATTAGGCTCCAGTGCTTCCTCAGGCATACTCTGTCTGCTTCTATCTCTCGTGTTCTCTCTGCCTTTCTTTCTCTCTCTCTCTCTCTCTCTCTCTCTCTCTCTCTCTCTCTCTCTCTCTCTCTCTTCCCCACTCTTTTTCTCCTCCTCCCTCTCACTAGCTTGCTCTATTCTCTTGGAAGAATTTATCCTTTACTGTGATTAATGTAGACACCAGGCATGCTGGCCAAAGGAAAATGCAAACTAAGTCTCTGTCCCTTTCCCTTGTGTACTAGAAGGGTTAGTCAATAGCCCTTCTGTCTATTGAGGAGGGATGAGGCCTTGGTAGGGTTCAAGCTGGACAGGTCTAGCAAAGCAATAGCAGAGACAAAATGATCCCTACAAATTACAGCTTGTCACATGGTTGGGGTGGAGGTGGCTGGACCACACCCTAATGGCTCTGTTTGTTGAGTTCTAAACTGACCCTCAGGCCCTGCCAGCAGTGAGATAGATGGTACTTTCATACTCTAGGCAAGAACATCTGGAGGGCTCCGGCAAAGGGCCAGAGCCTACCCTTCCTTCACATCAACAAAGGCTCAAATGGCCAACAGAACACAAGTAGATAGGGCTGGGTAACTGAATCACAGGTCCTTTGTTTTGACTTCTTTCACCAAACCTTGGACCACCAAGCCATTATGAGTCACTTTTCAGAGAGCTCTTCTGACCCCCAAGCAGATGTGCAGTTTGATGAGATTTTGAGAGTAGATCTGGATAGCACAAAGCCAACCCAAATGAACTGATGGCAGTTTCAGCAACTTCTATTTCTCTGCTTCATTCAGTCATGGAGAACTCACAAGCATCACCATGGCCCTGGAGCTTCTGAGTAACTCAAAGCTCTCATATACCCCTAACTGTGAACTGTGTTATGTTAAAAACTAAGGGCCCTCTATGTAACAACTTTCCTATCAACCACCCCAGGTAATATTCTGAGTGAGCAACTACTCAGCTCTGCCATCTTACCTGTCAACAGAACAACAATGCCCAACCCACACAGCAACCTATCTGTTGCCTCCTCTCCATCATGAATCTTCCACATGCCCTTAGGTTCTGTAACTCACCTTTGGAACAAACTCTGGCTGATACAGAAAGCCATATGTCCATTTCTCCATAAGCCTGCTCACATTAAGAGGTTCTTTTATCCCCTATGTTCTTTCGTGAATATTTTTTCATATATACAGAGCTGTTAAAGTAGCATTAAAAACAATAATAATCATTTTTATTTCCATCACCTAGAATTAACATTTATTGATGTTTTGCCATTTTTTCTTTATCTATTTCTGTGTGTATATTTTTATACATTTGTTACTGTGGTAAAATATCACAACATGAACATTACCATTCTAACCATTTTAAGTGTATAGTCCAATGGCATTAAATACATTCACATTGTTGTGTAACCATCAACACAATCCATCTTTATAACTTTTTATCATCCCAAGCAGAAGCTCTGTACTGATTAAACAACTCCTTATCCTCCACAACCCTTATTTATGTCCTTTAAGTGATGTATCATTTTAAAATTTCAAACATCATGACAGTTCACCCCTAAATACGTCATCTCCTAAAATTTAAAACATTCCCATAAAACCACAATGCCATTCTCACATTGAAGACAATTAACAACAATCTACCATACAGTTGTCAGGCTCTTCTTAAATAAACAAAGGTTTCTACACATAAAATAAGAATGAGTCATGTTTAATCATTTCAACTATGAAGTGCTATATAAATTGAGGCATTAATGATCTTATTAGATGATCCTGAAATTTTGCTTCAGCTCTAAAGTTCAATTAGTGATTATGATTTTCCAAAAGGTTTCACCTCCAGATCAGTTGATGTGCCGGAGGCTGCTCTCAACCCCTCTCCAGCTCCCTAAGGCAGAGACACACTTCTCTGGGTGGGAGCCTTAATTCCAGCCCAGATTTTTCTAACCTCACATCTGATCAGCAATAAACAAATATATCAAAGATATCCATGAAAATCTCATAACTAGCATCACAAAGGCGTAAAAAGGAGATAAAGTCAGTTCTGGAGATCCAATACATGAAAGGAGCTTTAAGTACCTGGCCACAGCCAAGGGGGCCTTTATTAACACGTAGAGGACAGAAGCAGCCAATGTGCCCATTGGTGTGGTGAGCCACATGTGCCAAAAAAAGTGGGGTGCAGAGGGGCCTCCCTCCCCACTTCTAGCACTGTCCCCACCCATCCCCAAACTAGGTTCTCAGCTCTGTTGGCTCAAACATTTGAACTCCTAAATCTCTGGATTTGTCTCTGCCTCCAGATATTGGCACACAGTCACCAATCACTTGAATTTTCGACTGCGTTTTCCCCAGCCATCTTAACAATCGATTTTTGTACAATTGCATGGCTTGGCTTTACAATCTAACACAAACAGACACTGAGTCAAACATTTTCTTTTTCTTTATTTATACCATGTCTTGTTTCAGAAAGGATTTAAAACGAGGAGACAAACATTTAGTAAACACCCTGGACCAGATGCTCAAATCTGTGCTAGGTGTTGTGGAAAATGCAAGAGAGAACACATGTTTTGTTTTGTGTGTGTGTGTTTTTTTTTTTACCCTCAGTTGAGTTTACAATTCACTTGGGGAGACAAGACTCTCTTAGGAGGCAACTAAACCACAAAAGCATGGGCCTGGGAACCAGGAGCCTAGATACCTGACTTCTTACTCCCAGCTCCGCCACTGGTCAGCTATGTGATCTTAGAAAAGTCAACTCACCTCTCTGGGCCTCAGTTTCCTTATAGGAAAAACAAAGGGGCCATGCATATGTTTGTCTGAGCACAGAGACAGAGCAGAGAGACTGGTACTGGTAATATTGGTTTTCTGATGGGATGGGATGGGATCAGAAGGGCTTGAGAGGGAGATAATTTTTTTCTTTAAGCTTCTGTATTTTTGACTTTGTGATAATGAACATGTATTACTTTTGTGGTTAAAAAAAAATCTAACATTTACAAGTGGGGACGGAAGGAACTAGCTAAATTCTGGTTTAGCTCTAACCATGGTCTGAGATTATCTGTAACTCAGCCAATACTGAGCCTTTGGAATTGAGAGAAAAGAAAAAACAACAAGGGCTCGGATATTTAGGGAAGGCTTCCTGGAGGAGGTGAGACTCCAAGCAGGTCTTGAAGGCCTGGCATGCTATGGATTAGTAGAGACAAGAAGAGGGCATCTTGGAATGAGATGAAGATGGGCAATAAACTAGCTGATAGGAGGTGAAGGGCAAAGAGAAGAATAATTCTCTCTTGGTCCAGATGCATTCCAGGCTAGGGAGGAAGCCTGAGGGATGGAGTAGCTCAGCTCAGTCCCCTCCCTAGGAAGCAGCTCCCAGGCCCACCTGCCATAGCAGCAGCTGCAGAATCTGAGCAGCAGAAAGTCTAGAGGACCCAGCCTGGTGCTCTTGGATCACAGAGTAAGCATAACACTTGGGTATTAGCTAATCAATCTCATAAATTCATCTCCCTTTTACTAGGATCTGTCAGGAAGCTGATTAAATGCTGTGCGAGTGGGATTTGGCTCAGATGCTAGCTGGGAGCTTGGGGATGAAGTTTTTCAATGTTCAGCTCATGCATAAAATTCATAGTTTATCATTATCCAGACTGGCTTCTCTAGAACCATCCAGATGGGAATATTAGTATATGACAGTCATATCCTGGGTGAGCGGGTGGCCTAGCCTCTTTCTCCACAGTTCTCTCTGCAGTAGATGCTGCTCCTATAACCACCACAGCCCAGATCTGTCTGCAGAATCACCAAATTAGGATGCCAACAACCCTGGGGCACGGCCAGCACCCTATACCTCCAGTATCCTCAGGCAGTATTGGGGAGCAGGCTGGGTGTCTTTAAAGAACGATATACATGCCATCGCTACCACCCCCTGCCCTAGTCCCTGGCTAGATGCCCTCTGGCTGTCCTTCTAGCATGGATGCCCCACCCATTCCTGCTCTTCTTTCTTGAGGGCACAAATGCCCCCAAGTCAGCTAGGCCTGGACTCCTAACTCCTACTCTATCCCAAACCCTCAGTCAGCATGTGAAGTAATCCCAGCTAACTGGTAGATGGGAAAGGGTTGATACAGGGGATTGAGCCCAGACAACAACCTTCTTCAGCTTTTGCCTCTCTGCCCCCCTTTCTCCCATCTGCTCCCAAAGAGAGAATGCTTAGAATCACTTCTGGCATATTGCCTAATTTAGGAGCCTCTGACCTTCGTTTCCTAATTTGTCCAGTCTCTTCCAGCTCCAAAATTCCCCTTACCATGAATATGCATACAAGTCCAGCAGTCACAATGCCATTGGAAACCCCATGTCCATTCCTACTGTCTTCCCCAGTGACTAAGTAGCCTTCAAAGAAAAATGATACCAGGACCGGCAGCCATCAGGTAGAAAGCACTCACTGACTGCCAACACCTGTGCTCATTCAGCGGTCTCAAAGTAGCCCGGTGGTTGAACCAGGAAGGTATCAAACATGACTAAGCATTGATGATGTGCTTATAACAAAACTGGGAGCTAAGGTGCTTGAATGGTTTGAAGCAGACACAGTGTGTCCTCAGATGTTAACATTCTGGTGAAAAAATGATGAAATTTCAGACAATAAAAATCCAATCTTCTGATCCATCAATTGATCAGATACATTTCTTCTTCACTCAGCTGTTTGGAGAAAGAGGCAAAGCATAGTTAAGTAAGCCTTCATGAGGGAATAATTCTAGCAATTATTTTTCAGGAGATAGTCTGGGTTCTATACACATTTTCACCTATACTTTCTCCATCTTATAAAAATAACACCACTCCATTTTACAGATGAGGAAATCAAAGCTCAAAAATGCTGAGCCACTGACCAAAGTCACACTGCTTGTATGTGGCTGCACTGGAAGTGGAACCCACATCCTCTGATTTGTAGAATTCAGCGTTCTGACTGCAGCCTGCCATCCTCCTGTGATCCTAAACATTGGGGCTGATATTTAGAAAGTGAGGGCTTTTGTCATCAACACAGAATCTATTTCATAGGGCCTTACATTCTAAAGCAAGAAAGAGGCCTCCGATTTTAGAGAAAATTTCAGCAATGAATCAAAATGAAAAGAGGAGCCAGAAAACTATTATTACCTGCCCATTCCCCAATATTCTGGTCAATAGAGGTTTCACTTCATCTATGAACCATTCTCTTTTAGGCATTTGGAAACAATGGCTGAGCTGATGTGTGTCATTGGCTGAGAGATTCTTTTCCAACCAATGATCGCTGCCCCCTTTGGATGTTGTTGATGAAATAGCAGCTCAGGCTAAGGTTGGGGAAGAAGAAAAAGAAACCGCAGGGGGGGGGGCGGGGGAAACAACATTGCCAACCACCATCCCTCTTCTACAGAGCAGAACATGCATTTAAAAGGAACTCAGGGAGAAAAAGAGCTGGGATTAAATAGCCTTCACAGGTCAAGGGAAGACCCACTGCCATGCAGACAGCAGACAAAGAGCATCATCCCTCTCATACACACTGCGTGTGTTATCCATGGGTGTGCAATGCATCTGTGTACCAGGAAAGAAAATGTTCCTCTCTGGGAGCACATATGCATATAAATATATATTCAGACACATTTGGTATCATTACTCTAAATTCAGAACTAGTCCTGCTGTTGGTAGAGTTGGGCCTGCTAGTTCTCTAAAATAAGATTCTGGAACATATACCCATTCTCTTTTGGGAGACTCCCATACCAGGCCTTATTTAGTCAACTTGCCCTCCAGAGGCTGCTGAGCAGAAAGCCTTCATTGGCACCCCTGCTCTCCTACCCCATTAAGGGCAATTGAACCTGTTGTAGCCTTCATCAACCCTTTTGCTTTTTTTTCCATTTTCTTTACTTCCTGCTATTTGATTTTCTGCAGTTTCATCTCCTCTGGCACACAGTAGGCACTTTATAAGTGTTGCTCATTAGTGGCAGCAGTGCCAAAGGGTGGCTGGGGAGAAACCAGTATTCCCCATTAATCTCTAACAAGCATCTGCTCCACCCTGCAAGCTACTCCCAAGAATATACAGCCTAAGTACAAACCACGTGCAAAGGCAGCTTCGAGACAAATCTCCCAAAACCCTCAATCAAAGAAATTGTTGCCCCTGTGTTGTAACTGCATGACAATTCTGGAGGCCACTCTTTCAGTATCTGTTTGCATTTTGCATTCTGAGT